AATTCTTATTTGTTTCTGATTTGTTGTTGGTGGAGCTATTGTGTGTGGATTTACCCTGCTTTTTCTTTTGGCTTTTGGTAAAGTGGGATTATTCATTGCCTATGTCTTTGTGAGTGTAGTTAACTTCCTTAAATTGGAGTTTTCCTTCCAGTACTTTCTGTAGGGCTGGATTAGTGGATATGTATTGTTTAAATCTGGTGTTGTCATGGAATATCTTATTTTCTCCATCTATAATGATTGAAAGCTTTGCTGGGTATAGTAGTCTGGGCTGGCATCTGTGGTCTCTTAGTGTTGGTAGACTATCTATCTATCCAGGACCTTCTGGCTTTCAAAGTTTCCATGGAGAAGTCAGGTGTAATTCTGATAGGTTTGCCTTTATATGTTACTTGGTCTTTTTCCTTTGCTATTTTTCTTTATTCTGTATGTTTGGTATTTTGATTATTATGTGACAAGATGACTTTTTGTGGCTCACTCTATTTGGTGTTCTGTTGGCTTCTTGTACTTTCATTGGTATGTTTTTCTTTAGGTGGGGAAAGTTTTCTTCTACGATTTTGTTGAATATGTTTTCTGCACCTTTGAGTTGGGTTTCTTTGCCTTCTTCTATACCTATTATTCTTAGGTTTGGCCATATTTCCTGGATTATTTGTGTTAGAGATTTGTTGGACTAAGATTTTCTTTGGTCAATGAATCTATTTCTCCTAGTGTATCTTCAATGCCTCAGATTCTCCCTTCCATCTCTTGTATTCTGATGGTTATATTGCATCTGTAGTTCCTGATCGTTTACCCCAGATTTTCTATTGCCAGCATTCCCTCAGACTGTGTTTTTTTTTTAGTTGTCTGTATTTCAACTTTCAAACCTTGCACTGTTTGAATTGTTTCTTGCAATTTTTGGTTTGTCTTTTCTTCCGTTTCTTTGAAAGATTTTCTCATTTCCTCTTTTAGGGTCTCTATCATCTGCATGAAGTTGTTTTTAAGGTCATTCTCTTCTGCTTCATCTGTGTTGGTGGTGTAGAGTCCCTAGACTCTGGTGGCATCATATTGGTTTTTCCGTTGTTAAATATGTTCTTATATTGTCATCTTCCCATCCCTTCTTCCAGTGGGTGCAGGTGGTGTCTCTTCCTCTCCTGGTAGGTATGGATCCAAGGTTCTCTTCTGGTTGGTACAAGTATGTCTTCAATCGGGTAGAGACTCTTTTTACCTTCAATATGTGTTTTCCCTTAAAATAGATTTTATCTGATATCTAGAAAACTACGCCACTTTGTTTAATTTAGTGTTTATGTGGCATAATTGCTCTTCTTCCACTATTTTTCTCCATGGCTTGTATCTGGATCTCTTGCATATATCTTGTAATTGCCAATTTCTGTCTTTTCACAAATGAGTTTGGTTCATGAACAATTATTATCACTACATTTACAGTTATTCCAAGTGGGTTATTTTATGCTTTGTGTTTGCTTTTTAAGTATTTTTTATTCTCTCTCCCTGAGTTTTTCAAGTTAAAGTCTCTTTTGACTGAGGATGATCTTGAACTTAAAATCCATCTGCTACCAACTCCTAAGCCCTGGGATGCTATGCAGCATTGTAGAGTGAACACAGGGCTCTGTGCATGCCAGGCAAGGGCTCTGCAAACTGAACTATATTTCCTGCCCTTTGGATGAGTTTTTAAAATAAATTTTCTTCCTTATATTTTGGAAAGCTGTATATGATATATTTCAAGTTTCTAGTGCTTAGTATAGATGTTTTATATACAAGTGAATTTTAAGATCTGAAGCCTCCTGAAGTGTTCTTCCTTAGAGGTAATTGTTGTTAAACTCACTTTATTCTTTTGATGAAAAAAATGTCTTTATTCTTTCTCTGATCTTGAAAGATCATTTTGTGGGCATCTTATATCTGTAGTGAACACTGCATATAAGCGGGATTATATGATGTGTCCTTTTGTGACTGGCTTATTGTACCTAGAATATTTTGGATGCTCAGTCATGTTGTAATGTGTCAGAATTTCTTTCCTTTTTAAAACTGCAGAGTATGTCATTGTAGGGACCTATCACATTCTGTGTACATTACACATTAATGAGCCAGTGAGTAACTCTAGGAATAATATTGCTGCAAAGTACATGTGTAGGTATCTTTTTTAGCCATACTTTTTAGTTCTTTTGTATGTTTAAGATATAGAGTTGTCAGATCATATAGTGTAGATGGGGATGAGGAGGAAGAATGGGGTAGAAAAGGAGGGATGACTGGGATTTTAGATAAGATGACCGTGGTAGTACCTGCTTTGGGGAAGGTAGTGACTGATGTGTTTTCTGAAGGTCATGAGGGAATGAGCCATCTGCAGGGTCAGTGAACATGAAGAATTTCAGTTATTTTATCAGGGAATAGCCAAGTGAAGAGCTATAAAAAGAAGAAAGAATAGCTGTTGAGGTGAATATTAATTTCCTCCTAGAGTTAGTACTTTTTATTGAATTTGGATCTATCTTGGTAAAATATCCAAAAGTTCAATATAGAATAAATCAGTTTAAAAAAAGATGAACCCTCATTTTAAAATGTTACTTTGAAAGTGTCATTTTAGAAGTATGGTAAAAACATATGTTAAAATATATTCAGTATATGTCATGGGAATACTTTTGTGGCTCACTTGTTCATATAAGGTGCTTAACTATAGGCCTCTAAGTTTATGTGCTTGAGATTATTTTTTATCCCATGAATGCTAAATACTTAAAGAAAGTGTATGAACATTTGTTGTCATGTAGAATGAAGTTTACTGTAGCCATCAAGCAATCAGTAATTTACTAAATGTGACAATTTCTTTTATTCTTAAGGAGTATGCAATTTAATGGTTTTAGGAATCAGAAATTATTGTTTATTAAATTACATTTTTAAAAAATTAATATATGTGTACTATATCTCATTTCTCCCTCTTCCTCCCAGTCTCCTCCCTCCCCTTCTCAAATTTATGACCTATTTTCATTGCAACGTATATATGAATAAATACATAAATAAAACCCTCCAAGTCTGTTTAGTATTGCTCACATGTAAGTATTTTTAGGACTGAACACTTGGTATTGAATAATCAGTTAAAGGATCATCACCAGAGAAACATAGCTGTCCATCTAGGGATAGGTCCCTGGGACGTCCTCCATCCATGTTGACATGTCAGCTGATGTTACCATTGTTCAAATCTTGTTGAGGCAGTCATATTGTTGAGATTTCATGGGTGTAGCTAGAAAACACTATCTTGCAGCAGTACTTCCTGGTTCTTTGGCTCTTATAATCTTTACACACACACACACACACACACACACACACTAATTAATTTTAGATAAATACAATATGATTCCTTATGACTTTTTCAAATATCTTTAGTGTTATTTATCCCTCTTTTCCCCCCTCTTTCCATATTGTCCTCCCTCCCCCTTTCCAATAAAAGCCCCGTACAATTTTTTCACTTCTCCCTTCATGAGTATCCCACGGTTCCCTTCTCTAATAGCTTTTCTCTGATCTCACTATTGAAATTCCTTCTGTGTGATTTTGAAGAAATATTTTCCATAGGCTTCATTTTGTTTGCTTGAGGAGGGCCATGTTTGTTTTAAATGGGATTTGACTAAGTATACTCTAAAATCATAGGTCATGTTTTAGACAAAATCTGTTTATTCTTCGTGTCCAGCTCAAACTCTGTTTATTCTCTGTATCTTTTTCTTATCACTTCAGAAGTAATTGCTTCTTTGCCTGGGCCGCTCTAACACACCACAAATGTCAGTCTCAATATGGTGTAGTCACATCTTTTAAACTAGCCATGTGTTTCCTATATTCATATCTCAAAACTCATTGAAGTTTGGTGCCTATATTTATGTTCAGATTTGTGTGCTTTCAATTTTGTGCCTGTATATTGAAAACTCCACATTTAAGTCTTAGTAGCTACTATCTCAGAAATGATAACTGTGTTCAATAACACTACTATGTGGAAGCAAGTATTCCATTTAATGGCTGTTTCTCCTGGTGAGAAACTCATGTTTCAGACTTTTAACAAGATGTAATTGGTCTCTTTGTCTAGCACTACATTATATGCATGGCATAAGTGCTTATTTGCATGACTCAAGAGATGTAAGTAGTTATTTTGTCACTAATTATAAAATCAATAAAGAGGATGATTATCACTGATTTACCTCTTTGTATCTTGGATCAAAGGCACAAATTTCATAAAGATTGAGTATTCCAAGAACCATTCACAAGCATCTTTTGTAGTGATGTAATTTTGATCAGCCATTTAGGAGATGATGTGCCCCTTAGTGTGGTTAATCAGAATATGATGCTTACTTTGCTTTGGATTTCCATGTTCTCCTTGGTTCCTTGTAATCCTTATTTCTCTCACCCACTTTCAAAAACTAGGTTTTTTTTAAAGAACTATTACATATTCATTCATTCAAGAGCCTTAGGTTTTAAAATCTACTGTGTGATATGCAGAGTTAGAATGATTTCATTTAGAATTGAGTAAGATAGACAAAGTCTCCACCCTCAAAATTAACAGATGAAAGTTGAGGCCTAGGAGGTGATGGACTGAGTTTTAAAGGACCTCTTAGGTTATGGTAAGAAAACATCACTATAAAGGTAATAAGAGGACCATACTGGCTTTTATAGAGAGATTCAACATAAAATATTATCACTTATAAACTAAAAATTTTTTATCACCTGAGTTTATTCTAAAGCTATTTTGTTATAATCCCCAAGTATGAAGAAATCTGTTGAAATTACATCAAGGCAATAAGAAATGGTCATTTTTTAATCCAAAAAGTATTAAAGAATCAATATGAAACAATACTAAACACAGAAATTAGGTCTTGCATACAAAACATTATTAAACTCATTAGCCTGCTCATAAAGTAGAAATTAAATTTCCTCTGAATTATATTTGATTACTGTTGCATGCTCTCTATTATATTGGTGAAAGTGTTAGATAATTTCCCATCAATTTATTCATGCCACTTAATACCTCTGATCAAATGTAGGTGGAACTGTACCATTTCTCTCCAATAACTTAAACATTGGAAATGCTTCCGTTAATTGGGAAAACAATCAACTTTGATAACTTTCCTGATCCTTCTGATACATGGGAAATCACTGAAACCATCGGCAAAGGAACATACGGGAAGGTTTTTAAGGTCCTGAATAAGAAAAATGGTCAAAAAGCAGCAGTCAAAATCCTGGATCCAGTCCACGTGAGTCACTTTGAGATATTTTTTTAAGATTGTGTTTATTTGTGCGCATGCATGCGCGTGCGCGCGTGTGTGTATGTGTGTGTAAGTATGTATGTTCATGTCTGTGGAGGTGCATGTTTATTTGCTTGTTTGTGTGTGTTAGTATGTATGTTCATGTGTGTGAATTTGCATGTATGTGTATATATGTACATATGAAGGCCAGAAGTCAACCTCCATTGTCATTCCTCAGCCTTCATTCACCTTGTTTTTTGAGGCAGGGTTTCTCACTGGCCTGGAACTCACTACTTAGTTTAGCCTAGCTGGCCAGGGATCTGCCCGTCTCTGCCTACCCATCTAGCCTCCCTAGCATGGGATTATAAGCATGCACCACCACATTCAGTGTTTTTACCTAGGTCTGGGGGTGGGGTGACATTGGGTTTCCTGTTTATAAGATAAGCACTTTACCACCTGAGGTATCACCCTAGGATGTAGCTTTTACTTTTAAGTCTCTACTTTATTTCCCTTTGTATTAAACACTTTAAAAAGTCCAAAGTATCTTACACTGATTCACTCATCATGGTGTTATTCTGAAACTAGGGGCAATCTAAAAAATAAGCAGAGCTCTAATTATTTGCTCCTCCAACTTGCGTGTTTTGTACATGCAATACGGTGCCATAAGTTCTTAACAAATGCATAGGCACATAAGTGTGTTGCTCAAAAATGAATCAGTTGATTGAATAGCATTGTATTCTTTAAGAAAAGTCACAGAAACACAAACTTTTGAGTCTAAAAGTTCTCCTGATAATCTGGTTATAGTTATCTGATTTCCAGGTTTTCAGCACTCCCTTGGACTTCGGGTAGTATTTCTCTTAGGCCAAACTGGAGAGGATTTTAAAAAAATGTTAAACTGCATGAATGTTGGAATAAGATTACCATACATGGGATAGGGGTGACGTAGGTTAATTTTATTGGGGAGAAATTACTTACATGAAAAACCGATGTGCTCTAAGCATTCAATCTCAGCTGCCCTAGGAGATCTGACTAGAGAGAGAGAGAGAGAGAGAGAGAGAGAGAGAGAGAGAGAGAGAGAGAGAGAGAGAGAGAGAACCCCTAAGTAGAGAAGAACTCATGAATTTGGGAGGGAGGAGGGTAGAGTAGGAGGAGGGAGAGGCAGGTGTAAAAATTATATATGTACAGTATTTACATATGAAATTAAAAAAGTTTAAAAAGTGGCATTATTAATAAAAGTTTTTATAGAGAAAAATACTAAATTTCCCCCAGAAAAACGAGGTTTTTGATTTGTCTAAGTGTTTCCATAGCAGAAATGGTGTTGATCTATCATGGTGAAATTCCTCATTGAAGAATGAGTTTCCTGTTCAGTCCTGATAGTCTCTCTTGAGTCACTAGTAGTGGTGCCATACACTGAACCAACCGTATCTTCCCCCAGGCTTGCTGTTTTCAGAGCAAGTGTTGGCAGTGTGGGATTATCTGAGAACCCTAGAAATAACTAAGTCTCCCATAACACACACGTGAGTGGAATGAGCTCAGAATCATATACTCCCCGAATTCTACTTTGGGACTCTTGAACTCATGGTGGAAGTATGAGGTGATAGAAATGATAAACTAAGGAGGTCACTGCGGCCCGAGTCCTTGACATGGCTTGTCTGCTAGTATATAGTGCTACAAAATTACCCGGTTCTTTATTCATCTTAGGAGTGGTTCTATTTTGATAATTCGTTTGTGCTAAAACCATTATAATTGTAGCATTTCATGTTATTTGTAGCAGAGGACTGGGGCAGGGATGCTCTCTTTCAAAGTAGGAAATCTGACACACTGGAAGGATGGGAAATGTAGTTTCCAGGCTCAGTTGCTTTGCTGCTTTTTCACAGTCCCTTAGGACTTTTACCGTTTACCTGAAGGGAAGAGACACAAGTTGCCTTCTGCCAAAAGAGAAACACTACTCTTTCATCTGGCTTTTGGTGTTAGGATTGATGGTTTGCAACAGCAACAAAAAACACTTTAGACCAACTCCAACATGCACCCCAAATTAAGGTATCTGTCCCACTACTCACCTGTGATAAAAGCAAGTAGCTTACAATGCCTGTGATCACTCCCCTTCCACAGCTGTTTATATGTGTTGGACTTACAGCACTTAAACATCAAGACTTCTAAATATTTTTGAGGGGGGAAATTAGGGAGGGAGACACAGAAAGACAGAGGGAGGGAGGGGGAGGGACAGAGGAAGGGAGGGAGGGGGATGTTGGAAGGGAGGGAGGCAGAAAGGCAGAAACAGAGAGCATGTGGAGGCCAGAGGAACACCTCTGGTCATTGGTCATCTCAGGGATACTTTCCGTTTCCTTTCATCACATTGGCCTGGAACTCACCAGTTGTTAGCAGGATTGCTTGGCCAGCAAGCCTAGGGCTGCCCATCTCACCTTCCCAGATCTGTGTTTTCATGAGTTCCGAGCATCAGAATCAGGTCCCTGAGCTTGGGAATAAAGTACAACACACCCACACATTTCATAAAGATTGGGGTGTATTTTTAAGATAAAGGAGCCTTAGTGCTTTGTGTATTTATCAAAAATTATGATTTTTGATCCTCTTCAAGGAAAGGAATACATGAGCAGGACTGGAAGATAGCGGAGTATAGACCTCTGTTTTCCACTGAACATCTCTCAGTCTAACTTCTTGGAGCTTATGTTTTTTGTGTGTGTGCTGTGCTTACTCTGAGATTCTGTAGGGAAGCAATGAGGGTATTACATGTGACTGTTAGAACAGCACTGCTAAGATTTTCTCTTATGGTCTGCAAGTTGCTCCACGTAGACATGGTGTTCTAGAAACATGCCCCAAAGTTTTTCCAGCATTTTTTAAGGTGTCAACTCATTCTCTTTCTGATGGATATGCTGTTAGTTAACTTAGGCTCATATTGTATCATATAATTTAGTTCCAGTCCAATGTTCTAAATAGGAATCTATTGCCTGCATAATGCGTTTTTGATAACTTCTAAATATACTGTGTGTTCTAGACCAATGGAACTAACTTTCCAGTCTTTTTATTTATTTTAAATCAATGTGTTGGTCATTGCAACCAAATCACTAATAACAAATTGTACTGGCTGGTTTTGTGTCAACTTGACACAAGCTAGAGTTATCAGGGAGGAGCTTCAGTTCAGGAAATGCCTCCACGAGATACAGCTATAAGGCATTATATCATTTAGTTATCAACAGGCAAGTGCCCAGCCCACACTGGGCTGCTGGTCCCGAACTTTATAAGAAAGTGGACTGTGAAATCCATAGGAAGCAAGTAGGTAAGCAGCAACCCTCCACAGGCCCCTGTATGAACTCCTGCCTCCAGGATCCTGCCCTGTTTGAGTTCCTGTCTTGACTTCATTCAGTGATGAAAACAGTAATGCTGAAGTTTAAGCCAAATAAATCCTTGCCTCCCCAACTTGCCATTTGATCATGGTGTTTGTCATGGCAGCAGTAGAAACCCTAATTAAGGCAAGTACAAATGAAATCACCTGAAGGAGCTCTCAAGTTGCTTACAGCAATAGCCTTTTATTTCTCTCTTTTAACATTCAGTTAAATTAATACGGATTGAGATGCATTGAATTAGCACAAAAAATGGTAAACTGTAATAAGACTTTCCAATACGTGTTACAAAGCACAGTACCAAGGACTACGACCATGCTTTAATGGAGTTAAAATTCTCTATTTAGTATCCTAATATAATTTGATTAGCATCATTGTGTTTTTTCATAGTTCCTTTGTATTGACCTGTTTTAATCTAGGATATTGATGAAGAGATTGAGGCAGAGTATAACATCTTAAGAACACTTTCTGAACACCCGAATGTGGTCAGATTCTATGGGATTTACTTCAAGAAGGACAAAATAAATGGAGATAAGTTATGGCTGGTCCTTGAGGTAAGTACACAGCTTTTCTTAAGTGATGGGGATTTGTGTTTGTCTTGGAAGAGCTTTCTGTTGATGTCACATCTGCAGCACGCAAAACCTTGTGTGTGGTGTATTCCTTACCTCTGATGTCCTCAGTATAATGCTGTACAGTTTAGGCACTGGCTTCTTAGGCACATCAGGATATTAAAAGTCTAGAAAGACCACCAAAGATTAAAAGAAAGCGAGCCCATGATAAAAGACTAGTGAAACAAAGATTATTTTGTCCTATACAAAAACACATTACAAGGGAATGTCATAATAATATGCATTTAAACAATATTGGCTAGGTGATAGTGGTGCATATCTTTAAGCCAATCATTTGGGAGGCAGAGGCAGGTGGATCTCTGAGTTCAAGGCCAGCTTGATCTACAGTGTGAGTTCCAGGACAACTAGAGCTACACAGAGAAGCTCTGTCTCAATAAATAAATAAATAAATAAATATTTTATTCAGTTACTGCATGACTGAAGTTCTGTGGCCAGGGTTAGGGTATAAGAGCAAATTAAGTAAAGCCTCCTTAGGAATAGCTGTGGTCATCTTGGATCTTTATTGAAGCTAATAGCTTAACTACAGAACTAGCTATTGACAATTATGAAGAGAAAACCTTGCCCTAAATGTTTTTCTGAGTAAACTGCTGTCGGCAGCAGTGAACTCTGCACTTTGGAATCTCTAGAGTGTTCTTTCTTGTAATGCACAGTCTGTTCCAAGACAGACTACTGAGAGCTCACCCCTCCCTAAGGTGACAGTACTCAGTTTTTCATTATTCAAGTAATCATTAGTTCAAACGAAAATTCCAAGAAATTTTGAAAGTCATTTTTTTGTGCAGCAGAGTGTCTCAGAAAGTGAAGGTGTTTCCACCAAGTCTAATGGCCAAAATCTGATAATTTGGAACCCACATGGCGGAAGGAGAGAACCAACTCCCCAAAGTTGTCCTCTGACCACGGCCTTTGTTTGACTAAGAAATGGCGTAATATTTTCTGTGTTAGTTACCGTATTAGCATTTGATTGTTTCTTGGGAATATGTTTGCTCTCCTGAGAAGAAAAACAGTGCAACATAGACTCCATCTTCAAAACAAAACTGAAACAAAAAGCAGGCACGTGAGCAACAGCAAACAGCAGCAAAAGCAGGCAGTCCAAAGACCTGGTAATATGTCAGCATGTAGAGCCAGCACACTGGGACCATCCTGTCCTACTCAGTTCTGTTCTCTTGATACCTTGTGATGCTGTTCCTAGAAAACCGACTGAGCCTCTCTAGTCTCAATGGTATCATTTTAATATTGGCAAGACTCCATTTAACCTTGAGACCCTGTGTGCTCCTACTGGAGTCTGGAGATCTACCTGCCTCTGGTCTCTGATGTTTCTCTGCTGCTTTTCCTGAGTGGAGCTTATTTCTTGATCCTTGGCCTCCTCTGACCAAGTTAACTACTCTACTTGATTCTTTCTGGTTGTTTCTAAGGGAACTGGATACCCAGTCTCTTACCAGTAAATTGAGGCACACTAGGCAGGCTCCCAGGTGCTGATACTCTGTGTGTTGGATGTGAGGGTGTCCAGTCTTATGATTGGACACTGCCAGATGATCCCGTTTTCTGACTCTTGCCCTCTCCACTTACCTTCTCTGGCACTGTGTGAGTTAATCTTTTCTGGGAGCACCAAGGCACCTCAGGGAGTCCTTCAGTTTGTAGCTTTCTCTTCTTCGCTACATCAGTCCCAACATGCAGATGTGATTTCATATTGTAAGAGTTGGGATCTCTGGCCCATTGCTCTCCCATTTTATGTTTTCTTTGTGTCTTAGACTTTGTTTTTATTCCTTTATTAGCACTTAGATAGATATTCATGAGTAAAAGGAAATTAACCTGTCTTCCACCTGCAACCTTTAATTATATTATAGAACCTTCAAAATTATAAAATAATATTTTAAAGAAGGTGTTCAGATTCTGAAGCTGTGTGTTTTTTATATAACATTTACAAAATTGAAAGCATTGCTCCTTGATATTAGGCAATTTATTAAAAAATTACTTTATATTTTTCTAGTAAAAGATAGCTTTATATCTTACTTTAAATTGCATATTAAACAAGGCTCAACTTTTATTCATCAAAATTTAATTATCCAAGTAACAGAATGCAAATTATGAACTTAAATCTTCCTGTCTTACATTAGTGAAGCATGTTAGTGTCATTACTTCAGTTTTGCATTTATATATCTGAACTGTTATGCTGTATGAACCCTTAAGTCTTGAATGAAATTTTGCACACCCATCACATACTTTCAGTAGTGTGTGCTGAGTTCTACAAACAGACCAGCAGTGGAATGGAGATCTGGGTTCTCTGGCTGATATGGAACTCTATGGGCAAGGAAACAAGCTATGACATTTTGCCCAGAGTTCGAAAAATATTAAGTAAGATGAATTCTTGTCTTTTAGCCTGCCAATTTTCTGTTCTAACTACAGTGGCATTTTTAGTATAAACCCTTGAAATTGGGGTTTATTTGAATTGAATTGAAGACGCCTGATGATAGTTAAGTGTATTTGGGAGGTTTTGTTCTTGATATTGGTAGTGTAGTTTTGTTGTTGATGATGATGATGTTTGAGAAGAGGCAAAATGATTTGCTAAAACTGTTTTAATGGATTAAAGTGACAAAATGGAGTGCCATTCTGACGTAATGAATCAACAAGGACTTAGAGGGCTCTTTGAACTTTGTTTCTATGCTTTACTATCAGATAGAAATATTGAACACTTCCCTAATGGCTTGAGAGAAAATAATAATGCCATTTGATGAAATGGCATGATAATTACACTTTATCATCTACTGGGCTGGATTTGGGTTCCCCTGGAAAACATTGCTCTAGGTGTCTGAGAGGGTGTTTCCAGATAACAGATAACAGTGCAACAGAGCAGTATTCAGTCCCCATTGTGGCTGGCACCATCCATGAACTAGGGTCCCAGAATGAATTAAAAGCGAATCCAAGGAACACCAGCATCCCTCACTCTCTGCTTCCTGCTGAAGATGCAGATGCTCCTGAGTCAGGACTTTCCAGTCATGATGGGCCCTTAACTTGTGAGCCTCGTGAGTCCCTCCTCCCTGAAGCTGCTTTTGGGTGTTTTATTACAGTACTGAGAAAAGCAAGTAATACAAATTTCAAGAATCTGATCTAACTGAACTAACAAAGTTGGGGTGGGCAGAAAGAAAGTGAGAAGTTAGTAAACTGGATGTAATTATTATAATTTGAATATGTAAATTATACTAATTACCTATATACAGAAGTGGCTAGAAGTACAATTACCTGATTTATAAATGTGAATGGCACAGGTGCTGCTTAGAGACACTTTTTAGAAAATTAGCCATGGCATCAATACTTGGTGCTACAAAATGACTGCTAATTATACCTCTTATCATAATAAAGCCCAAATAAATTATTTTGCATGAATATATCCAAATACTGGACAAAGACGGGGTGACAAATATGCTAACAACACTCTGGCTTTTAATGTGAGTTCCAATAAAGAAGGTATGTTCTGGGGGCGTTGAATCTGAGCTGTGAGTGACAGCCCTCAGGATCCACCAGCCTGCCAGGTGACAAAAGCCATGCTAGCTTACACAAGTGCCTGCAGTGATGTCTTACTGCGATACCCTTTCCACTTAAGTGTCAATCCAGAACTGCAATTATTGGGATAGGAATTCTCCATGTCTTGCTTAGGGCAGTCTATTTTTTCACGGTTACTTGTTTTTTGCTTGTCTTTTTCAGTTTTGACACTCTTTCCCTTAGCTTCCTCCATTGTATTACTCCGTAACTGAGCATGGACGATACATGAGACTCCTTTTAGGATTTTTTTTCCATTTAGCTATTCTACACAGCTCATTTTGAGTCTAAAGGTTCCCCAGTTAGTGAGAGAGGTCATGGCTTCTTGGTTCCACTCAGACAAAGGTCCCTCATAAAAAGAGAGGGGAGTCAAGTTAGGCTGTGGTTCCTGCTTTGTCTGTTGTTGACAGGACACTTGTGCAGTGCACTGTCACGCTATGATTATTTGTAGTGATGCAGTTATAAAGTGAGGGCAGATGGATGCGTTCGTTTCATCCTGCCTCATTATATAGAATCTGACTTTTGTCTGGCCTGTTTAGTTAGACAGAGGCTTTTGAACCTCCTTAACCCCTAGTGTCTGCTGTTGAGTCTGTATAAAGGAAAGGATGGTATGGGGCTGAGGAGGTGGAAGTCAAATGAGGTGTCTGAATATGCTTGCCATCCAAACTAGGAGAGCAAAACCACAGTCATAAACTTAAGTCCCTATCATTAATCCTCTTGCTGCTGCTGAGCACAAAGGAAAATCTGAGATGGGACTGTTATTGCCCCTCCTTGGCTGAATGAGCAGCCACATTTTAACTACAGAAGGAAATGCAGACTCAGGGGCCATTTGCCTAATGTACCTTCAGCCATAGTAGAGCCCCAGTTCAGAGTGGGACATCCTCTGTTAAAAGAGCTGTTCTCCCCTATGCTTCTCTGTGCTAATTGCCCCCTCCATGGTGCTGCTGCAGAAAGCCTTCTGCTCTTCATCTGCATTGGCCCTGGTGTGTTCATTTGTAATAGTAACACTGCTTTCTCTCATGACCCTCCAATTATAGCCATTTTTCTCCTTGAAATTAAATCCCTTTCAGGAGATTAAAGACTGACAATTACAGGTGGTGTTTAAAAGCGCAAAAAATAAAATCAGTAAATAGTTACAAAGCTGCTCAAATGGACATTGTAGATCATTAAAGTGGTCTTCATAGACCATGTGTGAGCCATTATTGGTTATTCTCATTTTCCTTATACTTGTATCTAGAAAATAATGTAGGGTCTGCCTTGATGGGGGAATTACAGAAGAGAGCACAGAGTGAATGAGGACTTTCTAGTTGTGCAGCATTAACATGCTAATATTATATAGCTCAGAGTGGGTGAAAAGCCCAGGCTGTCTTTCCTCTGTGTCTGAGGAAAGGGGC